GATTAGAATATGGCTTACGCCTCCAAAGCAAAAAAAAAAAAAAAAGCTTCGGCCTTGTATGATTTCTTAGTATTAGAAAATTTTACGATAAAGTCCGGGAGATTTTTGAAGATGTGTGGTGTAAATTCGAAAATGAAGTGTGTTTGCCATCCGGCAGAAAAACGCCCGGAAATCTAACATACTGGTCTGTTCTGCAATGCTGGGCCTTGTACAGTTGTGCTTCTTTGGTTCTTGTTTTTTTTTTTTTTTGAACATCATCCAGCGTGAGAGTGTGTTTTGTGTTTTCAGAACTTTCCATGGCTCAACGGGCATTCGCTAAGTCACTGAAGGAATTTAAATTTGTTACTATTGGCAGCACTGAAACAGACGATGAGCGGAAAATAGGTAAATGCTTCACAGACAGCTCACTTGGCGTCATAACAACAGAAGTAATGTAGTGATAACAGGGATGACTGGTCTCCTCCAATTATCCCAGTAATATATTCACCGAAGCACGTTTCTTCATTGGTTTGCCCTCTCTGCTTTTCGTTTTTTAATTTAATTTAGGGATTTTGTCCCCCTTCTCCACCAACTGGATGATAACGCTTAGCATGGCGCAACCTTAAAAAGAAGAGAATCAGTTACATTTTCAGGACGAGAATTCACATTTTCCTTCTGGTTGAAGTTATTGGTAAAGCCCTGCTAAACTCTGAGAAGCTTTTTAATCACTTTTTTGCGCTTGTGGGTCTTGTAACTTTTTCGAGAACAGTATCGCTTAACGAAGAAAGACATTTGTTATTAAATTTTATAGGTGAATGCTTAAGTAAATTTGGAGATTTTGTTAATCAGATCGAAGACCATCGTGAGAAGATTATTGAAGATTCAGAAATCCACTATATCGAACCTCTACGAAGGTTCCGTGTAGAAGCGATCGGCAAGGTTCGTTCTAGGTTTCTTTGATTGGTCTGTTTTAGCAAGTAGCCCACCTTTGGTCAGACTATGTGGCTCTTTCTTTTTCATAACCTGTAGCGTCCTTCGTGAGGTTCATCGAATTGTTTGTAAATTCAAGGCGTAGGGAAACGAAAACCCAGAAATTAAGAATCAAAAGAATACCTCTGCATCTTATATTTTTCACTGTAACAGTACTACTGTTCCATGCCTGTTTTGTTGCAATGCGTAATAATGTGACAGAGCTGTAAGTATATGTTTAATTGTAAGAAGTGTGTTCAGGTGTTGCACGATGATAAAAAGAGGTACGACAAGGAGTCGAACAAATTTTATGCATCGCTTGAAAAACATTTACATCTGTCAACGGTAACGCTTGGAGAGATTTTGTCTTGTCACTCTCTTGAATGTTATTTGTTGGGATAACAACTGGTGTGTGCCAAAGATGTGCAGCCCAGGATCGAAGGGCGTGTGGACGCTTTAAAAAAATATGCAAATTTTTTGACGAGGAAGCTATCTCGGGAACCAAACGAGCTAAGGAGCTGAAACTTTGTAGGGATATTCCCTGTGCATGCACTAGCTAAAGATTTCAAACTCAGCTCCCAGGTATGCATAGCTGTACTTGACATGTGGGGCATCCTAGTAACATCACTAACAAGAGACGCCTACACTGATAATCAGAGCAGACTTGGTATTCTTGGTAATGTATCAGAGTTAAAAACAATAAAAACATAAACTGTTAAACGACAATTACTGAGCAATCCAAGGGGCACAGGTTGCATGAAATGACGCAGATGAACGTCTACGGGGGAATGCGCGAATTCAAAAAGCTAAGAAGAAGATTAGGCAAATCATCAGATGTTGAATCGGTGGGACGAGAAGGAACACAACAGTAGGTCAGTAGTTGCGGCGCCGAGTTATACACAACTTGTTGTTTAGGCGCGTAGAAATGATTTCAAGGAAGCGGATGCTCAGCTGGACATGCAGCAGCGTAATTTCTGCAAGTCATCGTTGGATTATGTGACTGCAATCCAGGCAGTGCAGGAGAGGATGAAATTCGAATTCGTGGAGACCCTGTGCTCTTTCATTTATAGTTGGCTCACGTTCTATCATGTTGGTATGTTATTTTTTCGGAGAAATATCGGGTACAAAGGAAATTCCACTCGTACTGTTAATTCTTAGACATACCCTGTAGTTTTCGGATGAGCGGTTCGCGTTCTTGCCTCACTTAACGCATTCATTTCTATAGTTTGATAGTGTTTTTTTTTTCGAGAAATATCCAGTTTTTCGAGAAATATTCGCCTTCAGTTGCAGTTTCAAGCACTTACTAGTTAATACTGATATGTTTTTAGGCAAGTTTTTTTGTTTTTCTAACTAACTGTCGCATCAGCCCTACTGAATCATGCTTTTTTGCCTAAATTCTGCTCCGCTCAAATTGTTTTTTCTTTTTTCTTTTCACCCCAACGGTTGTGCCGCACTGTCAGTAGCGCGAGATTTGTCACAAAAAGAACAGTGGGTGTGTCACTGAAAGAACTGAAACGAAATGTATTGAAAGCTTAATGAAAAATTTTGCAGGGCATGTAACACATGAGGATTTCAAGCCATTTTTGAGTGAGGTGCAGTCCAAAGTTCAAAAGGTTGGCATTTTATGTGGAATCAATTAAAAATAATGTGCTGCAGAAGTAGTAGTTTGCTGAGAATACTTTGTTTCATTGAAATAAATTGTTTCATTGCTGCGGAAGGCTTCAGAGTTTCACTTTTAAATTTTTCCTGAGGACCTCTCTATTTTAGGCGAAACAAAGCTTTGAAGAAACGAAGGAATATTATTTGCAGCTCAAAGAAAAAATGCTAGCGAATCACTTAAAAAATGCGGTTCGTTAACTTGGAATGTTTTTTTTTTCCAGCTCAGTGATTAGCACTATTCCTAGAGATGGCAGTCCATTCATTTACACTTAACAAGTATCCTAGATGGGTGGGGAGTATGTGGTTCGTTTTTCAAATAATAGTGAATCGCGCGCGTGCGAATAGACGATTGATTAAATTTTATTAAATACACCGCTTTTGAGAGAATC